GGTGTGCTCACAGTGCTCACTGGCTGAGCGCGGTGTGGCCGGTCTCAAAAAGGACAAAAAAAAAAAAAAAAATCATCCATTTGGGCCGGCCCGTGGCTCACTCTGGAGAGTGCGGTGCTGATAACACCAAGGCCCCGGGTTCGGATCCCATATAGGGATGGCCAGTTAGCTCATTGGGTGAGCGTGGTGCTGACAACATCAAGCCAAGGGTTAAGATCCCCTTACCGGTCATCTTTAAAAAAAAAAAAAAAAAAAAGATAATCATAAATTGGCATAGAGCCTGATGGAAAAAGGCACCATAGAGGACTATCCCCTTCCCTAACATTTGTGACTTATGCTTGTTTAGAACACTTACCAGATAGCACAGGTCTAGCAGGAAAGTTGATGCTCAAAAGTTAATGCAAATAATAGACATCACCATGACCATTATGACCTGTCCGGAACGACAACTAAGAGAGTGTATTAGTCCGTTTTGTGTTGCTATAACAGAATTACCTGAGACTGGGTAATTTACAAAGAACAGAGGTCTATTTGGCTTATGATTCTGGGACAGCTGAATCTGGCATGGACCTCAGGCTGCTTCTACTCATGGCAGAAAGTGGCAGGCAGCCGGTGGGTGCAAGCAGATCACATGGCGAGAGGAAGCAAGAGAGAGAGAGGAAGTGCCAGGGTCCTTTAAACAACCAGCTCTCGCGGGAACTAATACAGCGAGAACTCACTCACTACCCCTCCTACCCCAGGGAGAGCATTAATCCATTCATGAGGGATCTGCCCCCATGACTCAATCAGTTTGCAACACTGCCATATTGGGGATCAGATTTTCACATGAGTTTTGGAGGGGACAGCACATCCAAACTCCATCATTGCGCCCCTGGCCCCCCAAAACTCATGTCACTCTCACATACAAAGTACATTCTATTCCAACAGTCCCTAAAGTCTTAGCTTNCACATGAGTTTTGGAGGGGACAGCACATCCAAACTCCATCATTGCGCCCCTGGCCCCCCAAAACTCATGTCACTCTCACATACAAAGTACATTCTATTCCAACAGTCCCTAAAGTCTTAGCTTGCTCCAGCACCAACTTAAAAGTCCAAAGTCTCATCTGAGACCAAAAGCAAAAGTCCTTCCAGCTGTGAACCTGTAAAAGTCAAAACCAAATTTATCTACTGCCAAGAAACAATGGTGGAACAGGCATTGGGTACACATTCCTGAAAGAAAGTGAGCCAAGATGCCAGGTACCGTTCAAGCTTTATTAAAGGAAAAGAATCTACCAGGCTGCACTCAAAGTGGGGAACAGCCTGGGGCTGCCCTGAAAATGGGGGACAGCACCAAGTGTGGGGGAGGTAGAGCTTATATAGTGTGCCTAGGGCTGGCTGATACCATCAAGGAGGGTCATTGTGCTGATG